TATTGTGTGAGTGAGAGCTAAGTTTAAATCTTTGGAGAATGTTGACAAGAGATGTATACATTGAACACACCCAATATTTCACACTTGAGGAGTTGGAAGAAACTATTATAACAATGCCTCAAGCTATGCTATCTGAATTGGCAAACCACTGACAGATGATGCTATTAAGATTTTGAAAGCAAAAGATGCAGCTATAAAATATTAACCTTTTGGTAATTTTTTTTTTTTTAATAATAACTACAGATTTTTTGTATCTTCTTTATAATTACTGAAACACTTTATAAAAACCTGGACTTTTAAACAAATTCCATAAATAAAAATTTTCAAACTTTGTGGTGTTTTTATAATTTCTGGCAATAGTATATCTAAGTAATTAATAGATTTTTAGTGCAAGATTCTTTGTAATTAGTACAAAGTCTCATTCTTTTTTTTAAGCTTTTCACTCCAAGCAAGGTGGGAGTGCCACTAGCATGCTAGGGGTTACAGAGAGTGGGAGCAAGAGTAAAGGGGTGTGATAGAGGAAAGGATGAAGACAAGGACAGGGGAATTAGATCAAGGCATCTGAAGATGTAGATTGACATTGCATTTGAATAATTGAAGATTATAGCTATCAGGGAAGCAAGTAAGAGGAAGGGAGTTCCACAGACGGGAAGTGCAAGATATGAAGCTATTGGAGTAGAAAAGACAGCTACATTTAACAGTTTTGACAGTGAAAGTGTGGGACTGAGATGCCAACTTAGTAGCACATTTAAATTCATGCAGTTTGGGAACTAGTGAAAGTAGCTTCTTGAAACAGTTACCATGATAATATTTGTAGAAAAGACAGAGGGAAGTGATGACATGTCTGTGAGAAAGTGACTGTAGACGAGATGCCAGATCAGGACCAATCACATTGTATATCTGTCTAGTTTGAGCTAAGCCAAAACTGTTTCCACAAATATCAGTAAGAGGCCAGATGGTGAATGCACAGAGATGATCCACAAAGAACACTCTAGTATGAGAAATGTGATCAGAATAGATGAAAAGTGTTTCAATTTTGATGGGTTTGACTACTGTAGACTTTTTTTGATATAATCTGGGTTGAGAAATACTGAAAGAGATTCCTCAAAGATTTGGTGGTGGAGGAATTATGGTCTGGGGTAGCTTTAGTGGCTGTGGGTTACACTGTCTTTGGCAGCACCTAAGAGATAATAGAACACAGCTTGATACCAAAGCTACCAATAAATAAAAGAAAAAGATTATTTTTAAAGCAAGACAATGCAAACTGCCATTCTGCAAAGAAAACTGACATACCTCAGGACTCACTTTTTATCTGTACTGAACCAGCCTGCCTTTAACTCTAAACCTCAATACTACAGAAAATCTTTGAAGAATGATGACAGGAGTTGTATACACTGGCCACACCCAATATTTCACACTTGAGGAGTTGAAAGTATCTATTATGATAATCCCTCAAGCTATGCTCTCTAAATTGGCAAACCATGATGGCATTAAAATTTTGACAGCAAATCTTGAAGATGAACTCGTCTACAAACAAGGACGTTAAATAGTGGCATGTCAAAAGACAGTGTCGAAGAAGTTCTGGGCTGAGTTAGTTATAGACTACTCAGGCGATATCTGTACCAACTTACCAACCGAATAAACCCCATTTTATTGTTACATGTTATTTGGCGTTTGTCTTTATTAACCCCAAATTAACATCATAACAGTGGCGACGAGAGATTCATTCATCACGCTGAGTGGAGAATTTTTCAACTCTAGGTGGACTATATAATTTTTTTTTTTTTTCGCACTGAAAGAAAAAAAAAAAAAAACAATACGTCGAACTTTGTTCTTCAAGAAGAAATAGGATTTCAACGTGCCAAAAAGAAGTAAGACTTGTGCTTATTGTTGGATATATACGTGTTTTTCCCTTTTTTGACTGTTTTCGAAAAGTGTTTTGTGTAATCTATTACGAATAATGGAAGATTTGATTGCATTAACGAAAACTCTAGTGCAAAACCAAATTCAGCAACAAGAGCAACAAAGATTGCAACAAGAGCAAAAAAATTGTTTCGGAACAACTATTGGATTTACAAGTTCAGCAGCGAAATGACACAAAGGCTTTATTTGAAGCAATGTTACTAAAGAATCCAGTAAATTCGTCATTCACGGCCGAAGGTATTGCTAATTCTATTACTGAGTTCAAATTTAACCCAGAGGAGGGTATAACATTTCTTGCGTATTTCAGAAGATTTGAAACAATATTTGAAAAAAAATGAAGGTTGGACTGATGAACAAAAAGTGAGTTTACTTTTACAAAAGTTGGGTACAGATGAAAATAATAAGTATACGAATTTTGTCCTTCCAAGAAAAACTAGTGACATTTCTTTCGAAGAAACTGTTAATACTTTATCTAGTATTTTTGGCGAGCGAGTTAGTTTGTTTCATACTCGTTTCTCGTGTTTGAATATGGTAAAGCGTGACGATGAGGATATTGTTACGTATGCTGGAAATGTTAACAGAATGTGTGAACGTTTTATGTTACATGATCTTTCAATTGATCGATTTAAATGTTTGATATTCGTTCAAGGCTTGACTTCTAGCAAAGATAAGGACATAAGGTCCCGAATATTGGCAAAACTCGAACAAAATTCCGAGATTACTTTGCAGAAGGTTACGGAAGAATGTCAAAGAATTGAAAACTTAAAACATGACAATACGCAAATTGAAGAAAAAAATAATTTTATCCCGTGTCCATGCTATTCGACCAAAAAAGGGAATAGTTAATAAAAACGTTAAAAAACCAACGTGCTTTGGATGCGGTGGTGGTCATTTTAAAAGTGAATGTTTTTTTCGCGACAAAAATTGCTATACGTGTGGCAATAAAGGCCATATAAGTACTCATTGTAAAAGCAAAAAAAAAAAAATTAAGTCGAAAAAAGATATTGTGAATATTGTGTTGTCACGTCAGGAGATTGAGGAGGGGCAGAAAAGAAAATTCGTACAAGTAAAAATTAATGGAAAAAATGTTAAACTACAGCTAGATACTGGAAGTGATATTTCCATTATTAATACAGCAACATGGATTAAAATAGGCAGACCTTTGCTTAAAAAGACTGAAAAAGTGGCTCATGGGGATTTCTGGAAGAAAATTGCATTTTCAAGGTGAATTTTCTTGTAATATTTCATTTGTTGGTAAGACACTAAAGTCTAAAGTGTATGTGCTACAAAATGCTTCAAATTTGTTTGGAACAGATTGGATTATACTGTTTAATTTATGGGAACTCCCTATAAATTCTTTTTTTTAATAATAGAGTTAATGTTTCTTCTCGGTGTAAAAAATCGGGTTACAGAAAATTTTGTGAAAGATCTGAAAATAAAATTTCCACAAGTATTTTCAGAAGGTCTTGGATGTTGCAAAAAGGCGAAGGCAAAATTTGAAGTGAAGGAAAATGTAAAACCTATTTTCAAGCGAAAAAAGAAATGTGCCATTTGGTGTTTTGGAACAGACTAACAAAGAATGGGAACGGCTTGAAAATTTAGGAGTTATTTCACGCATTGAATTTTCAGAGGGGGCCTGCCCTGTTGTATATGTTAAGAAAAAAAATAAAAAATTCGGATGTGTGCGATTTTTCTACGGGTCTAAATGATTGCTTAAAAGACCACACATATCCTTTGCCTTTCACCAGAAGACATTTTTGCAAGTTTAAGTGGAGGAAAAATATTCTCTAAATTGGATTTATCGGATGCCTATCTCCAAGTCAAAAAATGGACGCACAAAAAAGACATTTGAACCAATTAAGGAAAAGAATCATCGAAGAAATAAGTGAAGAAAAGGAAGAACCAATGGAGGTATTATATGATTTATTTGATATACCGACTCCACCATTGCCTGAAACAGTTGTTCAAAGAAGGACAAGCAAAAGAAAAAGAACTAGGGTGGAACGTTTAAGTCCAGATCCCAAAAGAAAAAATATATTAATTCCTCCGAATTAATCTCAAGGGGAGGTGTTGTGTAGGAACCTACCACCCCTCTTGAAGATGAACTCATCTACAAACAAGGACGTTAAATAGTGGCATGTCAAAAGACAGTGTCGAAAAGTTCTGGGCTGAGTTAGTTATAGACTACTCAGGCGATTTCTGTACCAACTTACCAACCGAATAAACCCCATTTTATTGTTACATGTTATTTGGCGTTTGTCTTTATTAACCCAAATTAACATCATAACAACAAATTTGAGAAAATTGAAAGAGGAACAAGTACCACAAAATAAAAAAAAAGCCCTATAAAAAAGCTAATATTGTTGAAAGCAATAAAAAAAAAGGAAACTGTGAAGAGACATAATTGCTTGTATCCAGAAGGGACATCAAAAGAAAGAATATTCATGAGTATGGAGATGTTTTTCTGGCTTAGTTATTTATTAATACAAACATAAATGAAAACAAGCAGCAGGTAAAAAATCAAGAAAGAATAAAAAACTAAAAGGAAAAAAAATCCAAGAAAGAATAAAAAAAAAAGAGAAAAAAATCCAGGAGAGAATAAAAAAAAAAGGGAAAAAAATCCAGGAGAGAATAAAAAAAAAAGGGAAAAAAATCCAGGAGAGAATAAAAAAAAAAGGGAAAAAAAATCCAGGAAAGAATAAAAAAAAGTGAAAAAAAATCCAGGAAAGAATAAAAAAAAAAAGGGAAAAAAAAAATCCAGGAAAGAATAAAAAAAAAAAAAAAAAAAAAAACCAGGAAAGAATAAAAAAAAAAGGAAAAAATCCAGGAAAAAAAAAAAAAAATCCAGGAAAGAATAAAAAAAAAGGAAAAAATCTAGGAAAGAATAAAAAAAAAAAGAAAAAATCCAGGAAAGAATAAAAAAAAAAAAAGGAAAAAATCCAGGAAAGAATAAAAAAAAGAAAAAAATCCAGGAAAGAATAAAAAAAAAAAAATCCAAAAAAAAAAAAATTTTAAAAAATCAGGAAAAAAAAAAAAAAAAAAAAAAAAATTAAAGAATAAAAAAAAAGGGAAAAAATTCAGGAAAGAATAAAAAAAAGAAAAAAATCCAGGAAAGAATAAAAAAAGGAAAAAAATCCAGGAAAGAATAAAAAAAGAAAAAAAATCCAGGAAAGAATAAAAAAAAGAAAAAAATCCAGGAAAGAATAAAAAAGGAAAAATCCAGGAAAATAAAAAAAAAAAGGAAAAAAAAAATAGGAAAGAATAAAAAAAGGAAAAAAATCCAGGAAAGAATAAAAAAAGGAAAAAAATCCAGGAAAGAATAAAAAAAAGGAAAAAAATTCAGGAAAGAATAAAAAAAGGAAAAAAATCCAGGAAAGAATAAAAAAAGGAAAAAAGTCCAGGAAAGAATATAAAAAGGAAAAAAAAGTATATTTGACAAATTTGAGCAAATTGAAAAAGGAACAAGTACCACAAAATAAAAAAAAGCCCTGCAAAAAAGCTAATATTGTTGAAAGCAATAAAAAAAAGGAAACTGTGAAGGGACATGATTGCTTGTATCCAGAAGGGACATCAAAAGAAAGAATATTCATGAGTATGGAGATGTTTTTCTGGCTTAGTTATTTATTAATACAAACATAAATAAAAAAACAAGCAGCAGGTAAAAACCTTGCTTGCAAAGATTCGAAATCAACAACAATAGCTGTCATAACTTTATCTAACATAGCAACAAGGACATTTTATAAGACATAAAATCACTTGTACTTAAAAGAAGATGACTGAAATTTCTAAAACACATAATGAGGAAAGAGTGCTTAGAGGAATTAACACTCCCAAGACATATTTAAGGCAAGATAGGCAAGGGAAAGCAATGAGTAATCTACTTAACAAGCAAGCTTGTGTAAACTGATGGCAGAACAGTGACTGCAAGGGATATTAAGGAGATAAACATTACCTTGAGCCACAAAGAATAGAAAGTTGTGAAGAGCCGTGATTGCTCACATTTTGAGGGGACTGATACTGCATAAAAGTTCATCACTCTTTTCTTTGTTTCTAAAAGGAAATATTCCTGTTTCTTATTACTTTGTTTAGCTTTTGGAAGGCATATTCCAATATTCCAATGCACCTTTGGATTTTGATGCCCCATTTTCCATCACCTGATGTTTCTATATTGTTTAAGGAAAATCTGTATGGATACATGGCTGTGTGGTTTGAATGCTAATGTTCTAATCATTAGACTCAGATTCCGCAGATGTTGATTACTAACTCCCTAATTATCACTCTTAAGTGGACATGTGGAAATTCTACAGGTGTTGACAATTAAGATTATCAGTTATTTCATGTCTGGTCTTCTCTTACCTTTTGTATGTATCTTTTCATTCTCTCTCTTATCCCTTCCAAACCTTGTTGCCCATCCATGTTCTTATCAAAATGTTATACAGAATGGTACTTCAGCTAGTATATTTTTGATTACTTCATATTTGTGCATCTATCACTGTAGAAGATAATGGATCGATCAAATACTATAGTACATCTTTTTCTTGGTAACTGAAGTTTCTTCTTAAGTGCTCATCATGACTGAGTAATTAATTTAGAGATATGTTGATACCAGACAATCTGATTATCAGATCAAGACAGAAACATCAAAAATCTATTTAACAATTTTGTCCTCTGCGTCAACCTGTAAGTACACGTAATTCTTATAATTATTCATGGAGTACCTTGTAGTTTCTTTTTTATACTTTTTTATCATCTCATTTTACAGTACAAAGAAAAAGAAACACGCAAGAGACTTTGTCATGACACAAGCCTAATTATTCTCAGTGAGCAAATTCTACTCTGTAACTCGGGCGACAGAAAGACACATATGGAAATGATGTATTCAAATTAGTGACAAAATAAATGGGGCAGTATACAAATCGGATTATCTTATATTTGATCTGTTATTTGATCTATACATGTGAAGATATGAATATCAATTGTGGGGGGAATCAAAAGAGACATTATCTGATGGAAACGTGTGCATAATTGGGACTAATTATAAAGTATAATTGGAGGTGAAAACTACAAGTTCTTTGAAGAAATCCGGATCATTCTTTATATATTAATCAAGAAGAGGAATAAACGATCAGGTGCAATCAGAACAGTTACATGTGCTTATCATAGGTATAGCTAGATAGATGACAACCTTTTCTCTAAAATCAATTTCATAATTTAGAAACTTTGATCCACACTGACTTTAATGCATTGGTCAACAAAGTTTCATTTTCCAGATCAACTTGTTAATTTTTTTTTTTTTTTTTTTTTTACTTTAGATCACCCAATACAAAGACTAAGGGTCACTCAAGGTAGAATGAGATTTTTAAAAGGTGGGGGAGTAAGAAGTGCATATTATTAAGATGTAGATACTAATTGACCCTGGATTAAAAAGATCAAGATTGCAGTGATCAAGGAAGTATCCTCTCAGGTGATTGATTGAGTTGTCTATTTAATGGCATATCAACTTCTTATGGGTCATTTAATGCTGAAATTTAATTTTCTTGGGTGTTTTGAAGTAATAAAAATATGATACATGTTATTCTACTTTCACAGTTGAATACATGGTAGATGATACTCAGCTTTTGTGCATATACATGTTTGTGTGAACAGAATTAATAATACTTAATAATTATTAATTATTATTATATGTGTGACATATGTTATAGTTTTGTTGAAATTATACAGTTTGATTTATTTAAGAAATTGTAGGATATTACATGGATTAATGTCATGAAAGTTCTTTCATTTTAGTTATTTGGTAGTATTTTAAACGGATTTGGGTGAAGACCCTACAATTTGTTAATATGTGCATACTGTTGCCAATGTTTTATATAAAAATGTATTGCTGGTATTTTTACACTGTCATAGTGTTTAGTTTTTGTTTGGGAGTAGGGTCACTATTTACCCATAGCTGGGAACCTAACAGGTGCTACTACACTGTATCAGGGTGGACCTAGGAACAACAGCAATTAAGAGGTAGTTCCACACTCCTCAAAACCTCCAATCTCCTGATCAGAGGACTTGCTGCTGAATATAGTTCTCTTGAGAGACTGTTCCACAAAACAACAGTTCTGGTGAAGAGGCTGGCCAAGTGGACGTTTTTTTTCCTTCTTTTTTTTTTTTTTTCAAATCAATTCACTCCAAGAATGGCAATAATGCCACTAAGATGCAAGGGGCTATTAGAATTGAAAAAGAATGAGAATATTTTAGAAGGAATCAGAAAACCAATCCTAAACAGGAAACATGAGATAAACTTGTACTCTGGTTCAAGAGAAGGTATAGCACTGTGAACTGGACAATGGGAGATTGATCTACAAGCAACAAATTATAGTCTTAACTTTCACATTATTTTTTTATATTTCATGTTATCTGAAGAAAATACTGTCTTTGTAAACTCAATTTATATTTTGAGAAAAAAAATAAATGGTAAAACAAATGAAAGCAAACTAAAAGAATTTAATGATTCTCTAGAGACACTAGTTTAAGCATGGAATAGTTTAAATGATATTTTTAGATATTAATGCATTTATTTACTATAGATTATTTTTGTAAGGTTCTGTTTGTATATATGACAGCATAAAATGTTCTTGAGAAATCTTATATTGAATGTTGATGTTAAAGAATATAACTTTGACCCAAGATCTACTTGAATATTTGTTGGACTTACTCTTTACCAAAGGAATACAAAGTGGGTGGGTATGATTCGCCACAGTGAATTTTAGTCTCAAATGATTACAGGCCAATATGTTCAAAGGATGAGTTTGAACCTCACTGGATGATTTTACTTAAAACTGAATTGAGTCAGACTAGACTTAGTAAATGAGAGTCACCTGCTGTAGTACATTAGTCAACAAGTTCTTTTTGAAACCCATTTATTAATAGAATTGCATACTTCAATGTGGTGTAATGCTTAGCAAGCTTGTCTCACCATATCAATTAATACTGAGTAGTGAGTTTGATTCTCACTAGGTGCTCCATACTTTTGGTCTTGTGCCACATCTAAGATCTGCTTAGTATATCCCTACTATGAGATATTTTTTGGGGCACTTCAACATTGTGTAATAGGTAGCAAGCTTGCCTTGATAGATCAGGTATGACTGAATAACGAGTTTGATCCTTGTGAATGCTCCTTACTTTCAACCTCATGCCAAGTCTAAGCTATACTTATTAAATCACCATTTGTTACTAGAATGCTTTTGATCATCATATAAAGCTATTAATACAGCTGAATTGAACCAGACAAGAATTAGTAAGTAACCCAGGTACCTACTGTAGTGAATTCATCAAGTTTATTTTGTAAATCAATTTGAGCATCCTTGGAAGACTACTACAGCTGAACTGAACCAGACAAGAATTAGTAAGCAAGCCAGGTACCTACTTTAGTGAATTTATCAACTACAGCTGAATTGAACCATACTAAATTTAGTAAATGATATAGGTACTTGCTATAGTATACTGGTTAACATGTTCATTTTGCAAGCCCATTTGTTAATGGAATAAGTTTGATCATCATAAAAAGATTTTAATACAGACAAACGTCTCATCAACAGACTAACATGGGGAAGGGGTGGTCCGTTAAAGCTCATTGTAGATGGGAAGGGATTATTTTTAAGTTATAAAATCACTATAGTAACTACCAGTAGTATGATCATAATGTAAATACTATAAATATGTATATATGGCATAAATAAATATATACTTAATATAGATATATTAATCAAAATAACAAAAATAATATATTTCTCACAGCTACTTTCTCATGCATGTGCTAATGTATCATACTTTATATACTGTACACCAATCTTTGTTTACCATTGAAAGGCTCGCCACTGCCACCAAGTGGTCACTTTGAGAACTAATACGATTCATTCCACTATGCCCACAAATTTTGAAATACATTGCTGATGATTTGGGAATTTTTTTTCCTGCAAATTTCTTTTTATTTTAACTGCAGATTTTGTCTGTTGCATCTGAAGTCTGTTGATGGTGGGGGTTCCATAGATGAGAGGTTTATCTGTACATCTGAATTGAACCAGACTAATATAACCTTACATGTAAGATTTATCTAGAACATAACCAGGTCTTTTAAATATCTGGAAGATTGTATGCGAAGTCTTGATGCAACTAAAACCCATCATAAAAATTTACTAAGTAGAATCAGTAAATACTAAACACTTCAGTATATAGATCAGTTATAACAAATTGCATATAGGAGAAAAGAAAACTGAACATAGAATAAAGTGCGAAAGTAACAGTTTCACCCAACACAACAAATTACTACAAAACCAAAACATCAATTTGAAAACTTGATTCATGTTCTTAAATAGTCTCATCAGATTGAGACTTTCATATGGATGCAGTGCATTGCAGCCAAATCCATTCAGAAATATCTAAACCGTTAGTTGTATACAACTGCTTTCTAAGATCAATGGTGCGAAAAGGCTTTGAGCAAGTGAAGCCTGAAGATCTTGACAAAGATCATCCTTCTTTGAACATTGTGGACTAGTGCTATAGATTCACAAAGAACTATAAAACTGTGTTTTTTAAATATGTATGCAATATTATTATCTACTAATTAATGAAAACACAAGATCATTTCCCATATATTTTATTCAAATCCAAGCAAGGCAACAAAGCCACTAACATACAAGGATGTTACTTAGTGTGAAAAAATATAAGAAAAATATTATTAAGGAGCAAGAACATTAAAGAAACAATTATAAAGACAAAGGTTGATGATTGACATTGCATTTAAACTTTTGAAGATTGAACTTGACAGGAAAGCAAGAAGTGTGAGAAAGCATAGAACTTACAGTTACAGCTAGCCATTTCAACTGAAAAATGATGAGATCTTGCTGCCAATCTAATACCATGCTTAAGTTCATAAAGTCTAGCTACCATAATGCAAAGTTTATCAGAACATTTACCAGGAAAGTATTTATAGAAAAGGCCCAGGGAAGCTACATTATGGCAGTGGGAAAGTGACTGAAGCTGAGATGCCAACTTCAAGACCAATCACTTTGCAGATTCTTCTTTAGATTTTATCAAGGATCTAAAGATAAAGCAGGAGCACCAGACCATATATGGCAGCAATATCCATAGACTTACAAATATGTAGGATAGATTCTGGCAAGAAAAATTGTCTCACACAACACAAAGAACCAACTTTCTAAGCAGCAGACATAGCAAATGATTCCATATAATCTTTCCACTTCATGGCAGTGGAAAATGTTAGTCTGAGAAGATGCAACAAGTCACTCTCCTGGAGATTAGCATTAGCCATGCTGATGGAAGGTGATTAACAGAGAACAGTTTCATTTTGGAGGCATTAAAATTTAACAAGCCATTCCTTGTCCCAGTTAACACCAGAATGTAGGTAATTTTTGGAACAGCTGTCAATTTGACATTATTGAACTGATCAGAATTTACCTGTCATACAATTTTTTTTCTCCATGTGTGCACATCCTAGGTACAGTTCATCACGTGGTTGCATTTTCAGGGCATTGGGTGAATAGTGGATCTTCACCCCATGCAGATAGTTCATCTCTCAGATCAACCCTGCTCCTGGCTTCTGTGAAGAACACTGGGTGCAAAGTCTATTTCAGCATGATCTGTGATGAGACACATACAATAATAAAAATTACATCTGTTTACAGCCTAGTGGTTTGTGAATTTGCTGAGATAGTAATTGTGAGTTCAATCCCTGGGCCAGGAAGTGTGTACCTATAGAAACAGAGAAAGCAATAACTGAATAGTACTAAAAATAAGACCTAGATGAAATATCACTAGACATGGGCAGTGGAGCGAGTGTAGTCTATCACCTGTAGATTAAATAAAGGGTTCAGAATTCCCTGTATGTTAGCCATTACAACTTTTCTGTTCTTATAGTCAATGAAAAGTTGAAATACAGAAGCTGAGAAATAAATAAACCTTAACAAGACTTGAACTCACATCCCTCTCTTTAGGATTTCATCTTTCTTGAATAACACCATAGAAGTCTTAATAACTAAACAATAAAAAGCAACAATAATAAAAGGGAGAAAAATTACTAATAAAATATTAATAGTAGAGATGTTCAATCTAATAAGTGACAATAAAAAGATGCAGTAAAATTTTTAATAATGGGGGTTTCAAAAAAATTGATATCATTTTTTAATCTAATCACTTGACTAATTCTCATTCAAAATGATCTCAAATTTTAACATGTTTTGAAACAACTCAAAATTCTATCTTTAATTTTTTTTTCCTTTTCAGTATAGAAATGCCATTTACTGAAAAAGAAAACAGTAGGCTTGAAGAGCCAGACAAATGCATTTCTGAGAGAATTCACTAAAAATGCATCAACTGCAATATGGATCTGGACACAGTACAAAACGTTCAAAGAAGAAGGGTGCCTGTGCAGGGCAAAAGGTGTGGGCACCCAGTCAGAAACAAACTCATTTCAGACAAGTTAGCTGAAGACTATTTCATAATGAAGTAAGCTTACTGATATTTGCTAAACTTAAGTGAATGTGTGAATGATGTAATGGATAATGGCTTAGAATTGTTAATCAGAGAACTAAGTTCCAATTCCAGTTGTGTTCATTATATCCACTTCTATGCAAATACCCTTAGGAAAGATATGAATCCATCTCTTCCCCCCCCCCAGCTGTGGGTTATTTAGTAAGAATTGTAGCTCTAAATCAGTATTATCTAAAAAAAAAAAAAAAAAAATCTTTCAATCTAAAAATATTTGCTGGTTTTACATAACCTGCAAAGGGTTGATAATCCATAGAAAACAATCAATCAATAAGCTTTGATTACCCAGGTACAAAATCACAAGAGTGAGGCACCTAGTGAAAATCTCTCTCTGACACACATGCAAATGAGCTTGTGGGGCACATGATATATCCTTTTCCATTTAGAAAAAAACTACTAAAGACTAAGTTGGCTCAAAGCCACAGCAATGGAGAATTAAACATTATTTCAGAGAATGGTCCACAACGTTAATGCCTGTATTTTCACATTTTCTCTTCTAAACCTTGTTATGCCATCTATCAAGCTCACTAAGTAGGTTATGCATTGTTTTCCTCTGTTCCTCTTGCTTTCAATCTGTCCTGTGAGTATCAAATTAGTTAACTAAAATCAGCCTCTAATTTTTAAAAATCTATTAATTACATTGATTAAAAAGTTGAAATGAGGGTATCGTTGAAAAGAACAGGTGTTAATTGGATAATTATTTTATTCCTCTTGATGTTTTTAAGCAATCCTATATTGAATGAGAATTTCAAGGAAAGCAGATTGGTTAATGAAAGGTTACAAAGTAATCTGAACATAGTTTGGGAGAAAAGCATGACTTTTTGTTTTACTTATCGATGCAGTTGATGAGAGAGCAAGATTTGCTGAGGGAGATAAAATTATCATCTGCAGTCATTTTTTAACCAACATGCTTTTGAAAAAGAGAAAATTTGAGAAACTTAAATTTCCAAGGAAAAAAAAAACTGATGGGGAAAATAGAAATAGGTAAGAAAGAAATGGAAAGCAGGAAAATTTATAAAAATGACAAAAAGAAAAGAAAAATGAGAGAAAAAAAAACAAAAATTCTAAATGAATAAAAAGGAAAAAAAAATCCAGGAAAGAATAAAAAAAGGAAAAAAAATCCAGGAAACAATAAAAAAAAAAAGGAAAAAAAATCCACGAAAGAATAAAAAAAGGAAAAAACATCCAAGAAAAAATAAAAAAAAGAAACAGGAAAAAAATCCATGAAAGAATAAAAAAAGGAAAAAAAATCCAGGAAAGAAAAAAAACAGGAAAAAATCAAGGAAGAACAAAGAAAGGAAAAAAATCCAGGAAGAATAAAAAAAGGAAAAAAAATTAAGGAAGAATAAGAAAAATCAAGGAAAAAAAAAAAAGAGAGAAAATCCAGAAAGAATAAAAAGAAAAAAATCAAAGAAGAATTAAAAAAAAAAAAAAAAGAAAAATCAAGGAAGAATAAAAAAAGGAAAAATTAAGAAAGAAGAAAAGGGATATCTTGTAGTGTGTGGGAAACTTTTTTATATGTGAAAGGAAGAATAGAAAAAATAAAGAAGTGAGTAAGATAAAAAAAAGTTTGTAGCAATGTGGAAAATGAAGGAGAAAGAAACCATTTCAAAAGGTGAAAGACAAAGGATTAAAAAGGCAAAACTGAAAAGGGAAGGACAAACAAAGTATTAAGTTAAAGAAATTAGAAAAAGAAAAAAGGCTAGAAGAAGGAAAGAAAATTTGGAAAAAAAAATGAATAAAAGAGAAAATGAATAGAAAGAATGAAAATTGAGTGAAAGAAAATATTATATATATATATATATATATATATATATATATATATATATATATATATAAAGAGAGAGAGAGAGAGAGGGGTGGAGACCAAGAAAATAATTACAATAATTTACTAAATTAATTTTTTTTTCCTTTTTTATCAAAAGAGACATGCTTGCCTTTTGAAGAAACAGATTTTGACTGATGCTTTTTCTAACTTAATTAAAAGTCAAAAAGCAGATGTTTTTCAAAGAATCAATACTGAATTTTCAGTGCATACATTGTAAAAGGCAGACATATTGTCAGCAAACTCAATGTATTCATTTGTTGATGTTTTAATGTGAAATTCCCGGAGTAATTTCTTTCAAATATCGTAAATAATCTGTGCATTAAGAACATTTCAGAAACCCCCTCAACACTTTTATATTTAAAGACAAAGATTTTTGTTTACTAAAATTATCTTAAGAGATGAATGTAATCTTCAATTCACTCAAGACAAAACTCACACTAAGTGAAACAACTTACAATATTTACTAATGTAACTTACAATTAATGGTATGATTTTAAAAATATATTTGACATATCACTGGACATAACAAAAATAAAACATTTTAGTTATTTCTTTATTTAACACTTAGCACTCTTTTGGTGACTTTGTTTGGTTTATTCTACCTTTTCAAGCAACACTATGCAGCTGTGTTGTCATATCCTGCTATGGCAACTGCAAAAAAAAAAAAAAATGATTGAAATCAAGACCTATACTACAGAAGTAGAAAGACTGCCATGTACATTAGAACAGAAAGTAATACTAATGAATAATGCAGTGTGCTAAAGGTTAATGGACAGTAGCATTACATGAATTCCTTTTCTATTCTCAGGGAATAGAACGAAGTTCATCTGTAGTTACATATGTGCTGTGTCTAAAAAGGTGGGTTATTGTCTTTATAGAATAGAGTGAATTTTTTCTGTAGAGAGAGAGAGATGCTGTGGCTGGGGTGGGGAATTAAATAAAACCAATAAAGAAAATAATAAAGAATAAAAATAATTAATTTTCCCGTGATTCAAGTTATAAACAAACTGGAAAAGGTTTCTGGTCACATGTGTGATTTTATGACCCCACTGCCAGAAAGGACAGAATCTTTCTTCTCTTGTCTACAAAATGTGAACCACAAAGTACTAGTGTTCCCACTGGGAATGTTAGTTTCCCCAGTCTACTGACAACTGTATTCTTTTCCCTTTTCCAACAACATTGTCAGATGTGCTTTAGCAGCCCTAATCATGAGATAGAGGTTCAGTCTTACTAATTCAGCATGAACCTGACTTCTGCTCGACCAGCATTACTCAGTCACATCCTCACTTACCATAGGGAGTTCAGTCAAGAAAAAAAAGAATTTTTGAAGTTAGCACCAATCTAGAATTAACACAAGAAATTTTAGAAGGATAGTGATATGTTTATATTAGCATATCAAAATCTTTGTTTCATGTGAGTCTTGGCTAACAGCAAAGGCATTAAATGAAATTTTTGCAAATTCAATATTATAGTTTATCTTGCTTTTAATAGAGTTTACATTTTTTGTTGTTTTTTGTTGTATCAATTTTTTTTTATTTATAATACCAGACATTTGCAAGAGAACTGCTACATTTGTCTGTAATGTTTAAACTTCAACAGCAGTTTATCTAGAAGATTTGGGGAATTAATATTTTAATATTTGTAACCTCAAATGGAAAACTGATCAATAACTCTGAGGGACATTTTTTTTCTTCTAATTTGAGCTCAGCCTGGGAAATAAACAAAAGTGTTGGGGTAGAATTATAAATTTTTATATTGAAAGAGATTTTTTTTATATTATTGTGCACTCAATACAGGGCCCAATAGCCACACAAGGTAGGGGGGTCTACTGAATTAGGTTGCTGTAAGGTTAGGATAAAGAAAGGAAGAAAGACGTGAACAGATAACAGTTGACCCTAGACTTGAAAAGGTAAAGATTGCAGTTGTAGAGGAAGCATTATCTCAGGAGTTTGTTCCAAAAAGTGACAATTTGGGAGAAGAAACTGCCAAAGTGGAACTTCTTCCTTACTAAAGGTATATGGAAGGAATGAGGATGAGTCAACCCTGTGTATATGGCTTGGCAGGTCTTAGCTATAAAGGTCTGACTTGATGGAACTAAGAAATGTAGCATCAGCTACGGTAAGTTTTCTTTTCATTTTTATTCATAGTCGATTTACAGATATATTTTTATACACACACACACATATATATATATATATATATATGAAACTCTGAGTTGTGCTATCAGTGAGGGATTTTATATATATATATATATATTCTTTTAGGCATGTCTGATGGAATAAATTATAGACATTATGTCTGCTAATTTGTAACAAAACCTGTTCATACTCACAAATAACCTTCCATGTATTGATTTAAAAAAAAATGTTCTATAGCTGTTTAAATTTCTTTTATTTTAATTTCTCAAGTACTTTCAATCTTCAGGGGTGCAAGTAGTACAAAACTATATGTTGTTCATTAGTACAAATATTTATACAAAGTTGTGTATTGTTATCCATTACCATAATTTTTTTCATTATGATTTTAAATATAAAACAGTTGAGCAATTTTTTCACGTTTTAATGAACGCTCAGCACATTTTTAGAACTGACTAAATCTTTAGCAAATATATGATCCATCCACCTTTTTAAATTTTTTTAACAATAATGTTCACTCTGTACAAGGCCCAAGAACTACTGAACACGTTAAGATTGTAGTGATAAGAAAAACATCCTCTTGGGAACTGACTACACAAAGTAGTGGTTCATGAGAAGAAGGTGTTTGAGTGGAATATACATATCACCAATGGAGTGTGAAGGGAAAATGAATGGTTTGCTACAATGTGTCCGCCATGGCAGGTTTTAGCCATGAAAGTTAGAACTGGTGGAACTAAGCAATAGAGTAGTGGGAGGCTAGCAATGTTTCATCTGCAGGAATGGGGTTATGAGATGGAAAGTAAATCATCACCCACAAGGCTGATGAAAACAAAAAGACCCCCCCCCCAAAAAAAAGGACCAACTATGCAGATGGCAACACTGAAAAACTTGAACGACATTCAAAAATTTAATCAAGAGATTGTTAACAGTTCTCTAAATTCAAGAAAAATAAAAATGTAATTGTTATTTGTTATTATCTATTTTTGTTTTTTTAATCTTATAGTGTATCAATCTTTTGCAGGTTATTTAAAGCCAAAAAATATTTTTTAGATTGTAAGAATTTTTTGGAGATAATGATTTACTGATACAAGTTCTAATTAACCCATAGCTAGAGGAAGAAAAGGTGGATTTATATCTTTCCCAAGGGTATTTGTATATAAGTGAATATAACAAATCTGATGAATTGATTTCCAATTCCAAGCCATTATCCATTACACCACCTGCACATCCACATAGGATTCTCAAGCGGTCACCCAGTACTGACCAAGCTCAATGTTGCTTAACATTGTAATCGTACAAGAACCAATGTTCCAACATGATATGGCCATAAGCCCAGGTCTTTGGGAAGGGCTCCTTGGAAGGAATGAAAACCTTTCAGCATTCCATTATATTAATTGATTTGAATGAAGTAAGATGATATTATTCGTAAAAGGTGTCGAGATAACTTTCCTTTCTCTTCCCACATTAGTATGCACCATGCTTGGCTGGTCATGTGAATTTTAATAGCCAACCAACAAAGACCTGTTTTACAGAAATCCAAAATGTTGGTAGATGCCAAGGAAAGAAAGATGTGATCCAGTCTTGTGAGTAGAGAGAGACATTTGTAACATTCTCTAGTTTCTTTTACAGGACTAGAGAAAAGGTATACAATGCATTTTTATAAGTTATTGGCATACATTTTTATTTTAGAAAACAACACTTCATTTATGTCCATCCAACTGCTCTCTATGGGCTCTATTTTTTCTTCATCATAAATGACTGGATAAGTATCTGCTTTGAAAGCCAGGTAGTTCTTAAAATACTGAGACTTTCTAATTTCTATGTCTTCAAATTAACCTCATACATTCTTTCAAAGGAAGTCTTGGAAAGATTAACATTCACAGTGCATACTGAAGAAGGAAAGAGAAGCTGAGCAAAACTGCAAGTAATTTGAGAAAATTTGTGCAGATACAAGAAGAATTACTGCAGAATCAAAGAGGAGTCATAAAGAAACATGTACTGTTAAGTGCAATGAAATATGGAAGCTGTGGAGAACCATGATCATCCATGTCCTGAATGGACACATCAGACATAGTTATTAACTGAATTTTGTTCAGAATTTTTTTACTGTGTAATGTTCAACTTGAATGATTAATGAAAAAGCATTGGGTTAAGTGAACTAACAAGAAAAACATTATGCCAAATAATATCTGTTATGTAAAATAAATGCATTTCTTATGTTA